AACTTTAAATATTTCACTCCACTGTGTTCTTGATTCAATGGTTTCTGAAAAGAAGTCCAATTTAATTCTAACCTTTGCTTTTCTATACCTGAGGTGTGTTTTGCCCTCTGGTTCCTTTCAATATATTCCCTTTGTCTTTGATTTTTGTCTAATTTGAATATGATATACTTGGGTATGCATTTTTAGTGTTTTTTATATTTAGTGTTTTCTAGTTTCCTAGATCTACAGTTGTCATCTATTATTAATTTTAGGAAATTTCAGTGATTATCACTTACTTCTTCTGTTTCTTTCTGTCTTTCTTTTCCTTTAGGTATTCCCATTATGTGGATTTTAAACAGTGTTAGAGAAGGTTGTTCTAGGCGTCATGGATATTGTGTTCTTTTTTGTTCTTTGTGTCTTTGCATTAAAATCTGGTGAAATAGGTTTTTTTTTTTTCAGAACAGGCCTTGTTAAGAACAGACTATCTGGGGCATATTTCAAAATGCCCTCTTTTTTTTTCCTCTTTCCCAATTTTGGTGACATGGTTTGCACTATGACCTCAAGGATCTCGGGGATCTATGAAGAGTTTTTCATTTCAAGTTTGTTCATTTTCTTCTTGTGAGAACAAGAATCACAGCTTCTAAGTTCCTTAAGTGCGAGATCCGGTGTTGGCAGGGCATCATCTAGAGTGGCTCGTAGGGAAACACTTCCTCTTGAAGTTGGAGAATGTAGATTATAATGTTCTTTCAGAGGAAAGCACTGTGAAATCCTTCACATTTTATAATCATGGGCAAATTGACCATCAAACCATGGTGGACTTGAGTCAACTCCATTGCAATCTGCAGCTCTTAACCTGTTCCTCAGGCGCAGCAAGGCCCAGGGTACGCTGTTAGGGTTTGACCACAAAGAGCTCTTATGGCACATTATTATCTCACCGTGTGGTATAAAATTTGGCTGGAAGCAGCCAAAAGCAGTGTGTATAATGATGTTTTAGTCTTAAGTTGTCATGCCTCTTCCTCATGTCTGAACTCTAAGTTCCAAATAACATTGTCACCCTATCAAATCAGACTGAGAGTGAAAGGAAAAACTGAATTTGTGATAAATATTACACATGTTAAAAGTGATGCTTCCCCACAAGAATATTTATATTCAGCCAGTGGCATTTTCATTACATGTGATGGCCTCAGGTACTATAAGATGATATGGTTGGCTACTTTTGATGAAAGCGTGATTTCCACAGGCCTCGAGGGCTCTCGTGTTTGGTGATGGGAATAGAAGAAAATGATTCCAGTTCTTCACTATATTTTATTTATCACAATCCAATGCAGATTTGACCCTCTGCCTCGTGGAGTGCTGTCTGTGGTGGGTAATAAGGAAAAACATGAAATAATTTTTCTCACAAAGTAATGATGATCTTAAAATGACAATTTTTTTTATTTGTATAGCATTTCTGTCATTTCCCAACATGCTCAGGACCTGACATTAGAGAGAAATAAGATGTAATGTGACCACAGTAAAAATATGTAAATAATTTTCATGTGTTAATGATGTTGTTAAATTTATGAGAAAGTAAGTGTGAACAGAGAGTAGGTTTCTGATGATCAAGTCATAAAATCAATATTTGGAGATGACATAATCAATGTGAACTTCCCAAAAATGGAATATAGATGTCTAGTGATGTCAGTTTCATGCATCTTACTGCACACATATTTGGGATTTTTTTAGGACTCAGTGGTCATTGACATTTGGTTGTGAACTTCATCCTGGAGGAGTGGGCTTTATTAGATTCTTCACAGAAGGAAATTTACAGGGATATGATGTGGGAAACCTTCAGGAACCTGGCCTCAATAAGTAAAGATGACAACTTCCCTTCGCTGGGTTGATTAGAGAACAAGTTTTTCTTGCTCATCAATGTTGTTCCAAGATGTGGAATGTGGAGAGGGAGGATGTTGTTAAACTAGGCATGGTCACAGCTCATCATGGACCTAGAATCAAAGAACTTTTCTAGAATTTCTAGTACTTTGGAATCATTATTGTGGGTCTGCATTTTAGGAAAAAAGTTGGGAAGATTGTGACATTGAAGATCAGTACAAAACCAGGGGAGAAACCTAAGGTGAGTCACACTCACAATAGAAAGCAATGTCTCATGTGAGAATCCTAGTATATTATGAAATTTTAAAAAGCAGCAAACAAAACTTATAACCCCTGTTTCAAATTTATTTAGTCTTAGAAAATTTTCACCAAAAACACTTTTTTATTTTAATTACTTATTTTTTTGATTTAATTTTTTTTTTTCTTTTGGCGAGGAATATTGGCCCTGAGCTAACATCTGTGCCAGTCTTCCTTTATTGTGTATGTAGGATGCCACCACAGCATGGCTTGATGAGTGGTGTGTAGGTCTGCATCTGGGATCTGAACCCATGAACCCCAGGCTGCCAAAGTGGAGCACATGAACCCAACCACTACATTACTGGGCCAGCCCCCCAAAATACTTTTTTAAATGTGACATAGAATTTCAATATTTACAAAGTAGTTTACTTGGAAACAGTATTAATAAACCCTATATATGAATATCACTCTTTTGACAATAGCAAGTGTGAAGTCCTCTGGAAGAGCATTCAGTATATTCAATTTCAGAGAATTCAGACAAGACAGAAAACCTAAACTTTTCCTATAAATCGTAATCAATATAATAAATATAAAATAATTAATAAAGAAATCATCAATAATGTGCTTGTCATTTTTTTTTTTTTACAGAAGTCGTAGGGTAGAGACTCTGTGAAAGTGAAGAGCGTAGTCAATGTGGAGAAAACTTTAGCCTTGTTCTAAATCTCAATCTGAACAAGAAAAGTACTGGAGTAAAACCACATGAGTGCAGTGCTGGTGGAAAAGCCTTGATGCATCACTTATCCCTTTCTAGGCACATCAAATGTCACACTGAACACAAACCATATGAGTTTCAAAAATATGGGGAAGAAATATAAATGTAAGCTGTGTGGGAAAGCCTTCAGTTATCTCAATGTTTTGAAAAACATGAAAGAAATCATAATAGAGAGAAAACCAATAAATGTAAGGAATGTGGGAAAGCCTTCACGTGCCTCAAAACCCTTCAAAGACACATGATAATGCACACTGGAGATGCTCCTTATACAGGTAAGGAATGTGGGAAAGGCTTCACTTGTTCCAGTTCACTTCAAATACATGGAAGATCCCACTCTGGAGAGAAACCTTATCAATAGAAACAATATGGAAAAATCATCAGATATTATTATTCCTTTAAAAAACATGAAAGGACTCACACAGGAGAGAAACCCTATGTATGTAAAAAATGTTGTAAAGCTGTCAATTCTCCCGGTTCTCTTCAAAACCATGAAATTACTTGTAATTTGGAGAAACCTTATGAAAGGAAGGAATGTGGGAAATGCTTTATTTCTCTCTCAAACCTTCAAATACTTGTGATCACTCACACTGAAGATGGGCCTTAAAAATGCAAGGAATGTGAGAAAGCATTCATTACTCCCAGTTAATTTTGAATACATTAAAGGAGTCACATTGGAGAGAAACTCTGTGAATGTAAAGAATGTGGGAAAGCCTTTTGTCATCCATCAGGTATTCCATCACACATGAAAATGCATACTAGAAATACACCTTATAAATATAAAGAATGTGGAAAGCTTTCATTTGTCCCAGTTTATTTGGAATACATGAAAGAACTCACATTGGAGCGAAACTCTATGAATGCAAAATATATGGTAAAGCCTTCATTTTTATGCCAGTTATTTTCAAGTGTACAAAAGAACTAATGCTGGAGAGAAGCCTTATGAATGTCAGGAATGGGGGAAAGCCTTCACTTGTCACACATACTTTAGAAGACACATGAGAGTGTACACTGGAGAGAATCTACATAAGTGTGAAGAATGTGGGAGAGATGTTTGTGTTACCACTTCTTTCTGAAGGCCTGATGGACTCACTGGATAAAACCTCTGGAATGTAAACAGTGTGGGGGAAGACTTCAATTGGCCCACATCCTAAAATGTGAAAACTCCTACTAATAAGAAATATCAATGTAAGTAACATGAGAAAGCTTGATGGGACTTAATGCATTGTATAATGTTCCAGAAAACTTTCAATATGAAAGAGTTGTTATAAAAGTTGTAAATATATTGGTTTACTAAGCTTCTTTCTTAAAGTACATCATTGGACTGTGGATTTCTACTAATTATTTTCAGAAATGAATATTGAGGTGAGATAATTCTTCAAGTCAATTTCAACAATAGTACATAAGATAGTGATTTTTCCTTGAATCAGTAAATGGTATTTTCTCTTTCCATTTTGAAGCTTGTTGGATCCATGAGTAAATTGAAATGTATTTCTGATATGCAGTTAGGTTTAATATTTTTATAATGTGTTATTTGCTCTTTGTTATGTGGCCACTGAAAAATGACAATTTGGTGTTTGTTGGGATTTTCCTACTGGCCATGTGACAATTTCTGGATATCCCTAGTCCATTGTATACCTTTACCTTTCTTACTGAGAAAGCTCCTTCTTTGGGGTGGTAGATATAGGATCTCTTTTCTATTTCCCATAGCATTAAACAGTAAAATAATTTTTTATGTATGGCACATTTATCAAAGATCATAGTTTCCCGTGAATTATTATTTTCATATTTGGGCCTTTGCTCATTGTCCTTCTTTCTGACTGTTATTTTGTGAATAGGCCTTCAATTAAGAAGAGAGCTCTGAGATAAGAAAAAAATCTAGAGTTGGAGAGATCCTTCATGTGTGTAATGTTAGGAACTAGATTTTCCATTATTCATCCCCTTTATGATTCCACATTGGAATTCACCAGTAGCCTCACTTGAATGAGATTTTGAAGTCAGAAGTGAAGAAAGCATCAGACAGATTTTTCAACAGGGAGTGAGATAGATACATAGGAGCTTAGAAGAAATCATGTTCCAGCCCATTTAGAGATTCCTTGCTCTTCCAGTCAAGAGTATCTTCAAACCAACACCAATTGTTTGATTTCCATTTTCTTAGAGGTGTAGGTTTCCACTGATGTCTTTATAAGTTCCACATCAATGATACACGAGAGTTGGATTTCTCTGTAAGCTTTCTTGTGTTCACTGGGAAACTAATTCACACTTTCATGATTGGGAGTGTTGTGATTCCCCTCTTCTCTAGATTATATCTGTATAAGGTTTAATTTGTACAGGAAACACCTATGTTGTTAACAGTGCTAGTGAGTATCTTTTCCTTATTCACCATGACATCCACAGTGGTGCCATCAAAAATAATGACATTTGGAGTTTGTTTCTCTGTTGCATTGTGCCTTGACCTAATCCTTTGATTTAAGAATAAGCACCTTCCTCATGTTAGGAAGACTGTGGATGTTTCCTGTTACTTGTAGCTGAATGTAATCCCTCAATATGTTTTCAATTATATTTGTATGTGATTAAAAGTATATGCATTTTTTGTGAACCAAGCATTTCTGTAATTGTTTCTTAGAAATATTTTATCAACTGTAATCAACTCATGCTAAAAAATATTATTTTTTCATTTCTTCGGAGGATATTTTAAAATATCCCATTGTAATTATAGATTTTTAGATAAATGGCAGTTTTCTTCATTTAATCATTATATATTATGTCAGTATAATTGTGTGCAGACAAGTTCAAGTATGTTTTTCCTCAGGCATATTTTATTTTTTATTCTTTTATAGTTATAATTTTTGGCGTGAAACTAATGTCTCATTCAATCTTAATACCAAAAACTTAAATTATAGTTTTTTCAGTGCCCTCCTGCCAGTGATTTGCAGGATTCCACCTGTAGTCAAAGAGAGGGGTGTCATGTTATGGAGGTTGATGCATGCCCCTTTTCTTTTTGTGTCATTAGTAGGAGGGTCAAAACTTGAAAACCTGCTTCATCTACTTCTATACATCTTAAAGGTCCAACCCATTCTTTTTTCCTCAAACCTCCTGAACCAGCTTACCACTGCCCTACTCTCCTTAAAAAGTACCTATGAATACTAAACATTTTTCCAATCCCTTGATGCATGTGGTGACATCAGTCTTGCCATGCAATCCCATTTTGGGTAGGGTGTCAATCATGCCCCCAAAAGGCCTATGATAAAACAGAAGGTAACCCATCAAATATGTCTTTTGGGTGATGAACATGTTTTCATGGTCTGGAATTTTTAGAAGATGAGGATAAGATATCCAAATGCAGAGATCCCCATGTGATGATTTTAAATGCATGGTCACAAAAGAAAAACATTGAAAGAACACGTGGTCTCTAGCAATAAAATCAATAAGTGAAAACGGTATAGTCTCACCAGGCAAAAATACAGAGCAACTGAAGTGAATGGGTGCTTTCTGTTTTGATATGTAAAGAGCTTGAAGTGATCATTCTCATTTTTTTAACAAGAAAAATGCTGCACAACCTGAAAAGTAATACCTCTTTTTTAGGTTCATGGGAAATTTGAGGTTACATGACAAACCAGTGACCCCAAAATGAGATACAGGCAAATATGGAGAATTACCACATTCCAGGAGAAGAAATGACTGGAGTCATCATTCTCTAAGAATATGTAAAATGCAACAGGTGCATTTTGGAAGCACAGTATGGGTTACCTTCAAAGTTAAAAATTCTAGGCAAGGCCAGCCTTAGGGGTCCCCCTCACAATTTATGAATTTTTCCTTCAGGAGCCCAACTAGGCTCTCATAGAGAAGATTGGAAAAAAATGCCTTGTGCTTCATGCAGGAAATGGGGGAAAACATTTTGATAAACACACATAGTATTTTGTTTGTAACATAAACCATCCCTCAAAGGAAACTATTATACTAAAGTCTTATCTGACTGGGAAAGTACAATTAGACAACTTGTAGACCCTTCACATTTCCTCTCTAACAAAAGGTAAGGAAATATAAAAGCTAAAAACCTGTTCTGAATTCATAGTCCAGGGAGTTTTTTACCACCAAAACATGCATAACATAATAGAACATTTTCCTTCCCAAATACGTGACACCATATCAGCAGGGCCCCAGGATGAAAACAGTGGATTAAAACAGAGCTGCAAGACACAGACTCTACTCTAGAATGAGTTTCTAGGAATAACCAAACATACCAGGGAGATAAGTACAAGCACAGTACAGGTTTTTGAAGACTCTAGCACTTATAGCTATGGCAAACATTAAACATAATCTAACACCTGTTCAAGAAATAATAAAAGCTCACACTAAAAGCCTGTTTATCTCAAAACTTATTGTAAAAATTCACAAATATGTGGAAACTAAATAACACACTGTTGGACAACCACCAGGTCAAAGACTAAATCAAAAGGGAATTTTAAAAAATATCTTGAGACAAACAAAAATTAAAACACAACTTTCAAAAACTTATAGGATGCAGCATAAGGAGTACTAAAAGGGAAGTTTAGGGCAATAAACACCTTTATTAAGACAACAGATATCAAGTTAGTGACCGAAATTTATGCCTCAAGGAACTAAAGAAAGAACGACAAAGTGAACCCAAAATCAGTGAAACTTAGGATGAAACAATGAAGAGTCAAGACTCAAGTACATACAATAATAAGTGAAAGATGACTTATTATAATGGATGCCTCAAAAATAGAAAAGATCAAAATGGACTGTTATGAACAGTCCAATATGTGAATAAATAGGATAATGTAGAAGAAAAGGAGAAATTCCTAGAAACATGCAACCCACTAAGAAATAATTTAAAAAGAGCCTGAACAGACCAACAACAAAGTCAAAGAACTAATACTAATTCTTCTTGAACTCTTTCAAAAACTAGAAGTAGAAGAAATATAATAGTCCCCCCTTTATCTGTGAGGGGTATGTTCCAAGACCCTCAGTGGCTACCTGAAACCATGGATAGTACCAAACCCTATATATATTATGTTTTTTTCTATACATACTGATGGTGCTCAGGGCAAGTTACCCCAGGAAGCACCACTCTGGTATGCAGATTATTTCGAGCTGAAGACAATAAAGACTCAGAAAATTCAGGAAGAATATTTGAGTTTCCCTTCCCAAACTGCCTAAAGAATTTAAAACAAAAGATCTGTTTCAGGAAGGAGTTATTATCATGATGGCTGTAAAGATAATGTAAAATAGAGGTTACAACAGGAAAGGCACCAAGCCCCTTTTATCAAAAACTCTGTCTCTCCCTGACCACATTATCTATAGATGACCCTGAAAAGAATTGTCTTCTTGCCCTCTGAAGTCCCAGACCACTACCCACCCCCAACACCTTCCTCGCCTTTAGCTACAATACTTAAGCAGGCAGCTTAGACAGAGGGACGAGTTGCTCATTTCTGAGTTTCTCCCATGTATACGTGTTATTAAACTTGGTATTATTTTCTCCTGCTAACCTGTCTTGTTGATTATTTGGCCAGCCATAAGAGCCTTAAGGGAAAGGGCAGAGGGGGATTCTCCCTCTCTCCCCACAATACATACATATGATAAATTTTATTTTATAAATTAGACACAGTAAGAGATTAACAACTAATAATAAAATAGAACAATTATAACAATATACTGCAATAATAGTTATGTGAATGTGGTCTCTCCATTTTTTCCAAATTTTCCATTTAATATTTTTGGGCCATGGTTCATCTCAGGTAACTGAAACTGTGCAAAGTAAAACTCTGGACAAGGGGCGACTACAGTACTTCCAAACTCATTTTGTGAGGCCATTGTCTTCTTGACATCAAAGCCAGACAAAGACACCTCAACAAAAAAACTGTAAGCCAATATCTTTAGGTCAGCTTGGCTCAGCCATTGTGCCCAAATATTTAGTCAAATATTCTAACAGTTGCTTTGGTGCAGGGTGTTTTCATGAGATTACCATTTCAATGGGTGGAGTTTGAGTGAATCAGATTACCCTCCTTAAGGTGGATGCACCTCTTCCAATCAATTGTAGTTCTTAATAGAACAAAGACTGAACTTCCCTAAACAAGAAGGAATTCTGCCACTAGACTGCCTTGGGACTTGAACTACAGTTATTTCCTTGGTTTTCCGACCTGTTCAGCTAGATTGCAGATATTTGACTTAACCACCTCTTCATAATCGCATGAACCACTTCCTTTAAAAAAAAAAAAGAAAATATATCTGTATAAACACACGTGCACTTACATAGACACGTCATGTTGGTTGTTTCTCTGAAGAGCACTCACTAACACCATATTTTATTTTTAATACTTTATGAGTCAAATGATTGATTTATTTTAAATGGGGAGTCATTTCGCTTTGTGTAATCCTCTAAACAATAATTTTTATGAAGTGTTAAATACCTTTTTGTAAACCATAAAAAAATTTCTCAATTTTTTTCATAAGTGATATTTAGAGCTTCTACTTCATTCTTATTTCAAACTGGTGAGTATTTACTGGAATGGACATCGCACTAAATGTATTAGGGTGGCACAACAGTGACAGAAGCTCTGCTGACCTACTCCCCAATAAAACTGGTGAAAATTACTTAATAAGAAACATTTAGAGCTACTGGGAATGCTCTTAAAGGCAAACAGCAAATGAAGAAGATTTATTCAAGAAAATCTATGAAGTTTTGTAAGAAACATGAGAGTCTCGTATTTGAGCCAAGAGCACTGCATCCCTAGCTCCCCTCAGCTCATGTTGGTGAAGCCTCCACCCCAGACTACTGCAGTCTAGAACACATGGTACTTTGTCAACTCAGCTCCCACTAACAGGGCTTCCCAGGGAGAACAGGACTGCAACATTTGAAACCCTGCCCCCAGCTTCCTGTTGCTGAGGGTTAACGAATGCTGAGTGAGATTGCTTGAAGATACACCCTAGACTGTACACTGACTAGTATTCTAGAAAGAACCAGGGAATTAGACTGCTGGGAGAAGGCTTCCCAAGCTCAGAAAAAATATCAAACAGCAACCTCAGAAATTATTTCTAAAAAGGAGAAATTTTAACTGGATTAATTCATAGAGCAATCTGTGTTCCCAGGACATTGGTGATGTCAATTAATAAAAGGTATAAACTGCAAGAGAAGTAAGAGGGGTTCTCAGAATTGCAATTTGGGAGGCACAGATTTGAGTAGAAACTCAACTGTGCTCTGCAGTGGACAAAAGAGGCAGCAGGGGGTTATAAACGCCAAACCACAAGCTTACATAAGTTGTCTTGAACAATTAATGATTAGTTCTGGCAAGGAGACAGCTGATAAGGCTCTAGGTGATTGATTCCCGAGTTGTTAAGCAGTTAGTTCATTCTGGAGGAGGAATTGTTCTAGAATACAGTTTCTGTGGTCAGGCAAAGTTCAAAAGTTCAGTCCACATCTGGCTGTGGATGTGCCTCCCAGCTCCACTGTAGAAGTCTTGACATCTGTTACTCCATTTTGGTATCCTCATCTACTTTTTT